CAGTAAGTGTTCCCGCAGTCTCTCACTAGTCCTAGTAGGTGGAACCCTCTGTTCCCTTCTCATTTGGCACCTCCTAGATCTGGGTGACAGGGGGACGTGTCTCTGCTGTCTGAAAGGTGGCAGGGACTGGCAAAACATTCCCACCTGGAAAGGCAGAGCTGCTCCCAGTGTCTGGTGGTGCTGGGGTGGGTGGTGCGCCCAGCACTATGAAAGTGTCAGAGGCTCCAACAGCTGTGGAGAGGCAGGTAGGGGACACAGAGGGAGATGGGGCTTGCAGCTCTTGTTGCAGAGATGGATGAGATGAGATTGTAGGTTGACGGAACCCCACACCAGAGCCTCACTATCAGGCTGCCCCAAACCTGGGAGAGACTCCTACATCCAATGGAGTCCTCCCATGGGTCCTCCATTGACCTGATTTGGCCAGCCCACAACAGTTTCTGAGGGAGCACTTCGACCACACCAAGGCCCACCCACTGCTGACTGACATATATTCAATAACTAGACACCTAAGTTTCTAGAATGTATCCAGCATTGTGTCTGCTCCCCCTTCTCCCGTTATTGGATTTGTACAGATGTTGTGTTTGTTACATATAATTATTTGAGCATTAGGTTTTTTCCTGTGCTTGTTCAGACGGTGAACAGCGATACTGAGGAGGTCTACAGCCCTCAGAAACACCTTTTTATGATGACAATGGCTGTTTCTTGAATGTTGTTGTTGTTTAGTCGTTTAGTCGTGTCTGACTCTTCATGACCCCATGGACCAAAGCACGCCAGGCACTCCTGTCTTCCACTGCCTCCTGCAGTTTGGTCAAACTCATGCTGGTAGCTTCAAGAACACTGTCCAACCATCTCGTCCTCCATCGTCCCCTTCTCCTTGTGCCCTCCATCTTTCCCAACATGAGGGTCTTTTCCAGGGAGTCTTCTCTTCTCATGAGGTGGCCAAAGTATTGGAGCCTCAGCTTCAGGATCTGTCCTTCCAGTAAGCACTCAGGGGTGATTTCCTTCAGAATGTATAGGTTTGATCTTCTTGCAGTCCATGGGACTCTCAAGAGTCTCCTCCAGCACCATAATTCAAAAGCATCAATTCTTCGGCATCCATGGACAAAGAAAACAGGCTTCTTGAATAGAACACCCCCCTCATGTCTCTTTGTTGCTTGATGTATAGTAAGAGTAAGTAGGTTTGTCCTTCAAAGAAAAAAAAATCCCACAGAATGCCCCCCAAATTCTAGTATACCTGTATACTAACTGTTTGGATCCTGAGCTGATTGTGACTCCCAGACTCTAGTTAACTGCTTTCTATTTGTCTAATAGTGTTAGAAGCAATTCCCTTTCCTCTGTGTTTGAGTGATATTTATCGTTTAAATAAATCATTGCAATTGGTGTAGTGGGCGGAACCCTGGATAATAGCCTTGAACACTCATAGCTCCATATGAAATGTGCTATTATTATTGCTTACTTTTATAGCACCAAAAATATACTAAGCTCTTTACAAAAGGGTCGGATAAACAGGTCCCTGCCTAAAGCAGCTTCAGTAGACATGAATCATAAAAAGAATTTGTGTGGGGCACAGTGGTGGAAAGGAGGGAGCAGGGATCATAAAAATAATAGCACATTTAATACAGTGAAAAGCACAGTTTGGGTTACAAAAATGTAGTTTTATCGTTAAGCTTTGCAATATAGGGAGTTAACAAAGAGGAAAGGACACACACACATCAATGAACTGCCTGATCCTAATCATAGTTACATGGAAGAATGGCCCACTGATTTCAATGGGGTTTCTGTCCAAGCAAGTATGTTTAATATTGATGTCTTAGGTTGTTTTCTTGGAACCAAGTACAGTGTAACCTCGGGTTAATAACTTAATTCGTTCTGGAGGTCTGTTCTTAACCTGAAACTGTTCCTAACCTGAAGCACCACTTTAGCTAATGGGGCCTCCTCCTGCTGCCACGCTACCGGATAACGATTTCTTTTCTCATCCTGAAGTAAAGTTCTTAACCTGAGGTACTATTTCTGGGTTAGCGGAGTCTGTAACCTGAAGGGTATGTAACCTGAGGTACCACTGTATTCCTGATTTTTAGTAGAGTGTGATGCAACACTGTCATAACCACCTTCGCATGCGAGTTATGTGGCAAAAGGATACAAGCTGAAGCATCTACGATAGATTTCAGAAAGCTGTTTGTATGTTTGCTAGGCATTTGCACACCTCTTAAGATATCAGTACCAAATTACTGTTCCCGAGGTCAAGGAGGAGGTTTTCATCTGTGCCTGGATACAGCTGGGTGCCATTCTGGATCCTGAAGGCAGACTGAACCTTTCAAAACTGCACTGATTTTAACCAAAGTTTGCATGGTGGTTCTTGAGATGAAGCTGCAGGGCTTTGACTATAGCTGGACACAATTTTGAATCAAGATTGTGCCCTGAACCTTTCAAAACTGCACAGATTTTAACCACTGATTTCAAAACTGCAATGATTTTTCTGGTTTCTTAGAATTCCCGAGCAACACCGGGCACAAGACTGCTAGTTTCTTTATAAAAGAAAGTGATGGAGGTGCCAAATTGGCTCAGGGGAGTAAAGCGGGGGTGGGGAACCTGTTGGATGCCAACTCCCATCAGCCCCTGCCAGGATGGTCAATGATCAGGGATGATGGGAGTTGTAGTCTGGCTATATCTGGAAGGCCACAGGTTCCCCATCCCTGAAGTATAGAGTAAAAAGCTGGAGATGTTTGACCAAAGAAGAGTTCTTATGCATACCAAAGAGAAGAGAGGAAGATAAACAAAATGCCCAGACTGGAATGCGACAAGAAATCACCAAGAAAAGGTAAGATCCAAAAGTATTGAGAGACTTCACAGTAAGTACGAAAACTGGTAGCACATATAAAGAAACTGAGCTGAAATGGAAATTTAGGAAAAGAGTCACGGGGAGGAGAAGTTTCAGCTGTGAGTATTCTGAAGATTTGTAATGGATAGATGGACAATAATAGTTTATTAAGAGTGGATAGATAGTAATAGCTTATTAAGAGTGTATGCATAACAAATGAATAAATAATATTGCTTTTGCGCATTAGCAAAGAAGTTGGGTTTCTGCAAAAGTTTTAAGATGAGAAGGAGAAAGACCAGAAAACACAGCATTAATATAATTTAGTTATAAGAAATCCAATTGAAAAGGCTTTTATTTTTGTACTGGAAATAGGACAAAAATTGTGTCATTGGTTTCTAAACAGCGATATGACAAATATATGGTAGCAGTATTAACCTGGTGTAGATTTCAAAGATTGCATTAATACAGCAGTGACTTCCATATGTTCTGTTTTACAACAATCCTCTATATGTTCAGTGGTTTGCCAAGGAACCACCTCATGTATTAGAAACAGAATTGGCTAATCCTTGTTTGTGGAGGATTCTGGGGCATATTCCAGCATGTTTATTAATTCATTCTTGGTGCTAAGGTCAGACCAGTAGAGTCACATCTAGAGATGTGGTATAAATTTGATTCAGTTTGCATTTAAATATACCTAATAACAAACTTTCCAAAACAGCACACAAACCAGAACATCCTTCAAAATTCACACTTTCTGATTTTTGCGATGCACTTCTCCAGTCATGTAATGTGTAAAATAATAATAATAATACATACACTTGGATAACACGCGCATGAAAATGCATGTATTAGCAAAATATAGCATACAAATACCGTATGTGTCACATTAGGGGAAATGGCTTTGCAAAAATGCGTACGTTAGGCAAAATTGCAAATGTGTATGTTGGGAAAAGTAAAAGGCTGGTGAATTTTCCTCTTTTTTTGAAAAATAAGATAAAATTGCAAACTGATGTGGAAATGTGGAGAATCGAGCTTAAGACTGATAGAATGAGAAACTGAAAGAAACTGAACTTGACATATGGGTCTATCTCTAAGCACATGGTCAATCTGTATGGAAGCACCCTGGAACAGGAATGAACAGGCTTCTGTTGGGGAATGTGCTCTGGTTTTGACTTGAACCTACCTGAGCCACATGCAAAATGGCAACTCAAGGGGTGGAGCTTGAATCCCATGTGCCATTACACTGGGTGGGTGGGTGGGGCTTAACTTCCCATAACGTTAAGTGCACGGTGTGCAAATTCATCTGCATTTAGTATTATTTTAACACTCTGTGCTAGGAGGGGAGGGAGAGATTTTAATTAAGACTGCAGAGTGGAGAGAGAGGGTAGGCTTAACCCTTGCCTTCCCAGCTGTGATCCTCACAAAAGCTCCCATTGGGACAACTGGACTAATCGGCAGGCCAAAGATTTTCATCGGGTGAGAAGGGCTAAACTTCTCTTTCCTGCATGCTGTGTTCCTGATCAGAGACCTCCCCATGCTTAGTATTAGTTTATTTAATGTAGGAAAAGCTCTCTGCTGCCCATCTAAATGCAGTGTGTTGAAATTAGGCTCTCCGTTGACCTGCATGTACCGATACAAATCTTAAACCTGAGTCAAATCAAGGATTCTTTTTGCTACTGGTATTGATAAGCAACTGGGAAGCACTACGCTCAAATGTACCAAGTGCTTCCTTGTGGCTTAGCAGTGCAAGATTAGTCAAGGTGATCAAAACATTTTTCAAGTGGGGCAGAGCCGCTGATCTGCTATGACTGATCTCCTCATCTTCTGATGTGCTTCTGGACAAACCACCGGGTTCCCCTAGAATGAATGCCATGATAGCAGAGCGTATTATGACTAAGCACAAGAACTAACATGGCTAAGGTCTGGTTCCTGGCTTGTGCACATTACGTTAGCTTCTGGTGATTGTTGTGTCATTAAATAAAGGCATGAATAAGCATTCAGCTTCTTATTATGCATGTTCAGCTTCAGATCATAGCCAAGCACCAGGTGAAATTCAGGGGCACACATTCGTAGTGTGGGTATTTCCGACCTCTGTTTAATTCCAGCATTAAAAAACAACAACACGGTGGAGGTATCTGAGCAATTTTAATTTTAACACCCCCCTTTAATGTTCCCACTTTAGCAAGAAGCCAAAGGGAGATGACCTTCGAAGGCTTTATACGGTACATGCTTTCAGAAGAGTGCAGCATCTTTAAACAAAAGCACAGGACGGTTTACCAAGATATGAACTTCCCATTGTGCGACTACTTTATATCATCGTCACACAATACCTACCTGATACAAGACCAGCTTGTAGGGCCAAGTCACCTGTGGGGCTACGCCAAGTATGTACATTTATTTGTGGGGCAGGGCAGGGGAGAGGTGAGGCCAATAGGGCGTGGAGTAACAAAACTGTGCAGAAGTGTGTTGTGTTTCCTAATGGTGTTCTTTCTCCGTATTTAAAATAAACACAAATGTTTGCAGCCGTTGAAGAAAAAATAACTTGGAAAAATACCTATGGGTTGTATTATTGCGCTCATTGAATGATTTCTGCTCAGGCAATGGAACATCTGTTACTCCCCCCAACAAACCTGCCCTGGAGAGTTGGTGGGATTGAGGGGGTGCAAAGGAGGAAAGTTCCATTGCATGTATGGACATCATCCTGCTAGTGCAATAATGACTTCATTGGTAGCAAGCCTGTGGCTGAGCTAGAACTGAAATAGGGGTGGAATATAGATACATATAAAAACTGCTTCGAAAATGCTTTATTTTAAATAAAAAAAAGGAATTTAAAAATACATTGCATTTTCCATAAGGCTGGCCATCACCATCTAATGTCACATTGTATATTGCTTTTAAAACACACTTAAAATGTTTCATTTGCAGCTGTATAGGACAATGGCAGAATTATTCTTTTGTTCTGATTTAGTGCTTTCTGAACTTTGGGACTCTTTTGAACCCCCTTTGGCATCCCATCCAGTGCATGCAGTGTGCCCTATGGCCAAACGTGTGGAAACATTGTGCGCAATGTTGTTTCAATGCTGACTTGTGGCCTTTCTGTTCCTCCATTTGCCAATCCTTTTGGCGCTAGCATTTTGTATTGTGAGTGGCAATCACAAATCCCATGGCTTTTTATCATGAGTACCCGTGGCATCATGGCAGATCACTTTGGCACCATTGGCAAAACCATGTGATTTGTCCCAGGCAATAATTGCGCCCGGTCCTTGTCTCTCTCCCCCTCCATCTGTTTTGCAGCAAGGTTGCCTTGCTGCTACTTTGGAAGAAAGGGTGGCTGGGAAACCTCAGCTTGCAGGAGAAGGTTCCCTTAGCTCACATTGCTTTAGCAGGATTGGTTACTCAGAATTGAGTCCACAGATTTAAGAATGGCAATCCAAGTCCTTCACAGTTGCAAGGAAACCTCCAGTCAAGAGGTAGATGGTGCACCCAGTTCCTGCTCCTGAAAGGTTTTTACACAGCCAGAGTTTGGAATTCAGAGTCATCTGAAGCTTGTGGATTTCATAAGCAGGAATAATTCTTCTGAAATTGCCTCCCAGGATCCTAAATGTCCCAAAATATCATCTGGGTCTTGCAATGGCAAATTATGGTCCTCTCAAGACTTTGGGGACTTTGGAATATCATGCTGCCCAATGAGTTTTTGCATCCAAATCCTTGCTTATTTTGTGTCTTTGGAGAAGTCACAATCCTACCTCACAGGACTGTTGTGAAGATCGAATGGGATTCCCCTAAGCTGCCTTCAAGCTCCTTGGATGAAAGGCAGGCTATGGATAGATCAGTATGATGACTAAATAAAGAGTTACATCTTAGCCTATAACTCAGATGTAGGTACAGTCACAACATGACCTTCGATGTTATTTTTGGTGTTAAATTGAATTGGTTGAAATTGTCAATGTTAGGTAAATAGGGACTTCCAGCACAGAGATAAAAGGACAGAGTTATACCTCTACCTGAATACACAGAGTGATGGCCAAGGGTGGGTCCAATTTAGAACTGTAAATAAGACTGTGGCTTTCAAATATTTTCATATCTCTATGGCAGTGCAAACTGCTTCGGAGAAGATCTGTTTTCTTAAAAACTGCAGATCATCAAAATGTGTGCTACCCTATCTGAGCTTCTAGCAGAGTGCAACTCCATAGCTAAACAAGCACTATTTGGAAAGCAGAAAGCAATATGAGTGCTGATGAATGGGACACAGTTCTTTTTATTTTCTTCTTCTTTTCTTTCTTTCTTTCTTTCTTTCTTTCTTTCTTTCTTTCTTTCTTTCTTTCTTTCTTTCTTTTTCAATTTAAAGTTCCCTGAAGAAGGGATGCCGCTGTGTAGAAATTGATTGTTGGGATGGTCCAAATAATGAGCCTGTGGTTTATCATGGACATACCTTGACGAGCAAAATTACCTTCAAGAATGTCATCGATGTGGTCCACAAGCATGCCTTTGAGGTAGGTGCATGTAGTTGGTCAAAAGCTCTGAAAAATGTTCACAGGGTACCGTAGGGTACCTACTTGTCCCACAGCAGTATCAGATGACTCTGAGGGTGGGTGGTGTGCTGACCTATGAGAGCCTTATACGATGCTGTCAGCTGACCTACAGAAAGCATAAAACAGATCTTAGATGTGAGCCTGGGACACATGGCAGGGCTGGATAACAGATACAAAAATACGTGGTACCTTGTTTACGAACTTAATCTATCCGGTCCGTTCTTAAACCAAAGCATTCTTAAACCAAGGCGTGCTTTCCCATAGCAGCGGGGGACTCAGTTTACAAATGGAACACACTCAACAGGAAGTGGAACATGTTCTGCTTCCAAGGCAAACTTCACAAACTAAAACACCTACTTCTGGGTTTGCAGCGTTCTTAATCCAAGTTGTTCATAAACTAAGCTGTTCTTAAACCAAGGTACCACTGTAATTCCTTTGTGAAAATTACTGTGGGCAGAACAGCACAGTTGCTGTGCAGTGAGGAAAACCTTGCTATGTTTCGAGAATGGCTGCTCCTCGTAACAATTTTGGCCACATTTGTGTGACTGCTGTTTATTTGCTTATCTGAAGATTTCTCAGTTGTGAAAGAGAACTAAGTTGCTCACCAACATTTATTAAAGCAATATTACATCAAGCACCCAGTTCAAGCACAGCCAATTCCCACTTTCATAGTGTCAAAGTCACCAGAGGTCAAATTCACATTCCAAACTGGGGAGCATCTCTCCAAGAAACCATCCTTGAAATTCAGGGGCAAAGCAGCCCAGCATTCCACTGTTATGTTCTTTCTGCTATCAACAATCCCCATTTTTTGTAAAAACCATTTCCTAATATGTGGCAGCTGCAGGCATTTGAAAAGAAAGGTAAAGGTAAAGGTAAAGGTAAAGGTAAAGGGACCCCTGACCATTAGGTCCAGTCGTGACCGACTCTGGGGTTGCGGCGCTCATCTTGCTTTATTGGCCAAGGGAGCCGGTGTACAGCTTCTGGGTCATGTGGCCAGCATGACTAAGCCGCTTCTGGCGAGCCAGAGCAGCACATGGAAACACCGTTTACTTTCCCGCCGGAGTGATACCTATTTATCTACTTGCACTTTAACGTGCTTTTGAACTGCTAGGTTGGCAGGAGCAGGGACTGAGCAACGGGAGCTCACCCCGTCGCGGGGATTCGAACCGCCAACCTTCTGATTGGCAAGTCCTAGGCTCTGTGGTTTTAAAACAGAGTCACAAATCCCAGATGGGCATGGATGAGCTCTTGGTCATGCCTAAAGTAGCCCTTGGAATCCTCCTACGAACATAAGAAGATAAGAAGAACCTGCTGAACCACCGAGTCCAGCATCTTGTTCTCACAGTGGCCAACCAGATGCCTGTGGGAAACCCATGAGCAGGATTCAAGCACATAAGCATTCTCCCTTCCAGTGGTTTCCAGTAACTGGTTTCCAGAAGCATTGCTATCATGACTACTAGCCATTGATAGACCTCTCCTCCATGAATTGGTCTAACCTTCTTCTGAAGCATTCTAGGTTGGTGGCCATCACTGCCTCCTGAGGGAGCAAATTCTATAGTACAACTTTGCTCCTGATCATTATCTGCAACTGAGCATGTATTTTCCCCTCACAAAAGTGATTCAGGGAGCAATCCTTACTACTGGTGAGCAGCAGTGGGACAGTGCAGCTGTATTCCTGCTGCTTGCACCACCAGTGGCAACGGCAGTGTTGAAGAAAGGCTGAAGTAGCAACAAGTTGCCGATGGCTTAGTATCTAGAGCAGTGATTCTCAACCTGTGGGTCCCCAGATGTTGTTGGACTACAACTCCCATCATCCCTGAGCTCTGGCCTTGCTAGCTAGGGGTGATGGGAGTTGTAGTTCAACAACATCTGGGGACCCACAAGTTGAGATAGGCTGATCTAGAGGATCCTTGGCTAGCTCAGATCTGCTCCTAACTTACCCCGAAACACCCCGTTTAGGGTTTACACTGACCATTGCCAGCAGTAGCTTCCTTCCAGCCACACTTTTCCTATGCCAGTTGTGGATTCTCCCCACCGGTAGAGGCCAAAATAGCCAGGCAGTTCTGGGTGGTGGGATGCCCATGACACGTTCAACTACCCTCGAGCTCTACGTGGGTTGAGGTTTGGACTCTTCTGTTAATGGACTTCCTCAGTTTCGAAAAGGGGAGGGATACCAACAGTCTTTATGTTAAATTTTCAGGCATCAGATTATCCCGTTACACTATCTTTGGAGAATCACTGCAGCGCTCCGCAACAGGAGAAGATGGCTGGCCATTTGCTAGACATTCTCAGGGATACCCTCTGTATTTCAACACTGGATGATAGCATGCCATCTGAACTACCCTCTCCAGAGGTAACATCCCCTCCCAACCCAACCCAACATCATCATCATCATCATCATCATTATTATTATTATTATTATTATAGATGGTGTGTTGGGGTGTTTTGGTGTGTGTCAGTTTGTGTGTGTTTGTGTGCAAGCTCTGCAACTGTTGTGCACATTTGCAGCATAAGGATTATTTGGAGTTTGGAATATCTTCATCATAAAAAATGAGATTGGGCAGGGGGAAATGATATGGTGCTCATAGGGCTTGTGATCAATATCACTCTTGTTCCAGCCCATTCTTCCATTTCCACCTCTCCTCTCACCATAGCTCACCCCAGAGCCTTTAAAACTGTGAGTGAAATGAAGTAGTGTGGTGCAGTGGTTAGACAAGAGATTGGGAAGCCATGGCCCTCCAGATGTTGGAAGACTGCAGCTCCCATCAGTCCCAGCCAGCATGTCTAGTGATTGGGGTTTATCAACATCTGGGGTGTTTCAGGTTAGCTACCATGGATTAGATTGAGGAGACCCAGGGTCAGATCCTCGCCTAGCCATGAAGATGAGGGATGGCGTTGTGATGGTCACAATTTCCCAGCCTAGCCTAATTCGCAGGGTAGTTGTGAGGATAAAAATGGGGAAGGGGAAGAACCACTTATGCCATCTTTAACTTCTTGGAAGGATATAAATATTGCAAGTATGAGAGGGCAGAGGAGCCTGTGTTGCATGGATTGATAGACTGCTTCCTGTATAGGCTACACATTGCCCACCCCCCTTCTTCAAACAAATTGAAATATAATTGTTTTCCAGGTAAAACAAATAGTCAGATGTGAGACATTCCAAGCTATAGACAAGCCATGCCGATATCTCAGGAACAACACATTGTCCTTGAGATGACAACATGAGGCTGTGTGCAACACTTGAGTTGTGCTGCCTGAATTTCTTCACACATGCATGGTGCTGCAGTCCTGAAGAAAGGAACACACTTGTGTAAATTCACTCATAACTATGGCTCCCTTGCTTGCTGAATTGTTCCTAGAGCTATATGCTTCTCAAAATTGCACTCAGATTGTGGGTGGAGAAATGCCACCAGGCTTCTCTAGGAGAAGGAGAATTTATCCAACAAGTCTCAATGGTGGGGCTCACCACAAGCAGTGGTCATAGCGCAGCTTCTTTCTTTAATTTTCAGGAAGGGGTGGAATGGATAACCATGGTTTCCTTTTCATTAGCCCAAAAGCTAATCCCTACATGCAAGTCAAATCTCCATGACATAATGTTGGTCGATGACTTGGATGTGAACAAATGAATGGCTTATGGGGTTTGAAAGAGGAGTGGAGTGGATAGCCATGGTTTCCTTTTCATGGTGTCTGCTGGTCTGGTTTGCATAACGTTTCCCCAGAGTGGACACCTGAACAAAAATGGTTTTTGTTCCTGTACAGTTGTGTGGTTTACTGTGCTGAATGCCTTCAAATTTCTTCCCGCAGCAACTGAAATTCAAAATCTTGATAAAAAATAAGAAAGTCGGAACTCTGGAAGAAACCCTGCAACGCAGGGGCCAGAGATGCCTGGGCCAAATAGCAGAGCTTGAGGAGGTCATGGAGTCAGAGGATGACCTTATTGATGAAGACCCTAAAGCACAGTTGATCAAGAAGCCTCTTGCTCGATTGGCGTCAGCACCCAAAAAGGATAAGAAGGACAAGAAGGTAAATATACCTTCAGTTAGAGGTAGGGGAGGAATTAGATTTTGTTTGCATTTCAGTGAGAAAGTAGCTAATTCACACTTCTTGAACCAAAACATGAACAGAAACCCAGCTATCCTTTGAAATGCACACTTCTCTGATTTCTGCTGTGCAGTTTTCTAATCAAACATTGTGTACTAAAATGCATATATTGAGGGAAATGTGCATATATTGAGGGAAAGATGTGTGCAGCAGTGAAAACAACATTAAAATGCATTGCATTAGTGCAAATTGCTTGTAAAAATGTGCATATTAGTCAAAGATATACACAAAATGTATTAATCAGAGGTGTTTTTTTATCGCAAATAGCTTGTAAAAATGTGGAGAACAAAATTTAAGACTGGGAAAATGAGAAAGGAAGAGAACTGAAATTGATAGATTCTTCAATCCTTAACCTCCAGCACACCAGATTTTTGCAAAAGCAGCAGCCATGTTGCCTGTCTCAGTGACTGATGGTTGGTGTTCAATGAACAGGGCATCTTAGCTATTCAGTTATACAAAAGCCCCAGGAGAGAATCACCTCATATTTCTCACTTTGCAAGGCTGTAATGCTTTTTAACTTTTTATTCACAGACTCATAAGGTTAAAGTCGCCATGTTGCTGTCAGAACTTGTGATATACACAGCTTCCCGGTCTTTCGTCAGCTTTGAAGATTCAAAGGAGAAGCAGAAGTTTTATCAAAATAATTCCATCGGGGAGGTGAAAGGACAAAAACTTATAAGCAAGAGAGGTAATTTACAAGAGTCTAAAATCGACACTTGCTGCTATTTGCTTCTTTAAACTATTGGAAGAACTAAACTTTATGCATGGCACATTCCTGCTGTTCACAGAATGGTATTTAACTAAGTCCCACTTAGAGTAGACTTATTGAAATTAATGACTCTTGAGTTAGTCATGTCCATTAACTTCAATGGGACTAGATGGATGCCCATTGAGTCCCAGTGGGGGGAAAGCAACAACAACAACAACAACAACAATACCCCAATGTGTTTCATAGTCAGTGTGCAGTTTCCAGAATGCCTTTTGCAACCAGATTGTAAGCCTCTGTGCTTGGGAATAAGTCATACTGATTTTACTGGAACTTATTTCCAAGTAAGTAGACTTAAACTTGCATCATGCAAGAAGATCAGTCCTAAGGACCCTCTTGTAGATGTCATTTGAACATCATTCAGTGGGATTTACCTCCAGATAGGTGAGCATAAGATTGCATCTTTGTGATATTACTGATCTTTGCCGTATTCTACTGCATCGAGAGCCAATCCAATCAAGAGGTCTTTACTGGTTTACTGTTTGTTTCTGCGAAGAAGTCGAAGTGCTGTCTATGGAATAAAACTCTAAATAAATAGGTATTTATTTGTTTCAGCCACTGGCCTTTGCAATCTGCACAAAACATAAAATGCACACGTATGTGAACAACTAAGCAGGGAAAATTACCGAACTCAACTGAGACACCAGTCATTTGCTTCCAGATCTAAGCACAATAGAAATATATACAAGTATAAACACTACTGAGTGGGTAAAATTACTAAAATCCATTAGAATTTTAAAATGATACAATTTAAAACTCTGGGCACTTTGGCAGCCCGTATTTTAATGGAGGTTGCTATGAATTTTGCAGGTTTTTTCTTCTTCCTGCTGTCAGCAGCTTATATTGATCTGCAAGGAGAAAAGTCATTGTAATAATTAGCTAGGTACCCCAGCTGAGACAGAAATAATGGAGTGATTAACTCTTTGTGTGGATCTCTCCATAAAGAGCAAAATAACGTGAACCATTATCTGGGTACTACCGTCTCCAGAAACTTAGGGCCAGGAGCTATCGGAGGAATTGCCTTCTCCCACAGAAGCTCGGCCATATTATAAGATCTGTTTCAGAGATCATTCTAAGGATGCCTCTCCCCACCTTCTGAGATTAGGCAGAAGGCGACAGGTCATTCATTCCCCATGATGCTAACATCCTGGAACATCCTCACAGGCTGCTAAACTTCCTGTCCTTCAGACATTGGGTTGATGTTGTTTGCTCATGTACTTGGAGGACGATCTGTCTTTGTGAATTCTGATATGACCTGACTTGTTCTGCACTTCCTCAACTAAAATGCAGATAAGAACCTTACAGCTTACCCTCTTGATTTTACACTTCTCTGAAGCTTGGGGTGAGCTTGTCAGCTCAAAAAAAGTTTTTTAGGAATGCTTATTTTTGTGAGAGAAAGCTTTTGCGAAATATGCATTTAAGTGCAAGCGTTCAAGTAGGGATTTTAAAAATCTGCATGAAGATTTGCACCTAAATTTCCATCTAAATTGTGGAACTTCCCCTCTGCCAAAGTGTGTTGAGTATCTGTCTCCATTATACAGCTTTTGAGTTAAGATGCACCTTTTTACCTTGGCCTCTGGCAATCAAAGCATTTTTGTTTTCTGCTCAAACCCCTTTTTTATTGAATGTATACTGTTCTTTTACATTTAGAATGTCCCCACCCCCGTTTTATAACTGTAAAGTTTTTAAATCGATAATAATAATAAATTTTATTTATATCCCGCCCTCCACAGCCGAAGCCGGGCTCAGGGCGGCTAACAACAATAAAACAGTACAAAAGTACAGCACAAACACTCTAAAATCATTCATTATAAAATTAATTCAAATCAAACCACTGGCAACCATTGGGCCAGAGCTCCGCAAAGATTGCCGAGGGAGGGAGTCAGGCTGTGCCCTGGCCAAAGGCCTGGTGGAACAGCTCTGACTTGCAGGCCCTACAGAAAGATGTCAAGTCCCGCAGGGCCCTAGTCTCTTGTGACAGAGTGTTCCACCAGATCGGAGCCACAGCCGAAAAGGCCCTGGCTCTCCTTGAGGCCAGCCTAACTTCTCTGTGGCCTGGGACCTCCAGGAAAGGAGGGCACAGCCTGTTTCCTGCTTCATTTATACTCATAACTTCTGCTGTTGCCATTTGAAATAATTGTATCCTTTTCATTTTAATATTGTGCAGGATTTATTTAGTGGTTGTTGCAAGCCACCTTGGAGGCTTTTAATCAGAAGCGCAGGGTATAAATATTTAAAATGAGTAAAAAAAATAGCACAGGCTCATATGTTGGTTGCTGCTGCATCGCATAGGGATTCCCATTTCATATCAAGAGTTCCTGGCTGAGACATAGCACAGCACCGGAAGCAGAGAGAGATGGATTGCCTAGAAATTGTAGCAAAAATTATGATTCTCGGGGCTTCTCAAATCACCCACTTAAACAACCCCTCCCCCGAACTGGAATAAATGATGCAAATTGGGCCTCCTGCAGTTTGCATAATCACAACATTTGTTTTGTGGAGTGGGAGCTATAATGGAATTCAGAATTTATCCTTAGTTCATTTCTCTAATAGTCTGGTGGTTGAAAGGTTTACATTATAGATCTTCAGCCAGTGGGCTGGCATCCGCAGGTGGGTTGTGAGGCCATCCCAGGTGGTTCGCGGCCAAGCTGTTGCCGCCATGTTGGATTCCAGCTAAGGTTGACCAAATGGAAAGGGCACTTACAGGGGTGTCCGGGCTCTTGCACACATTGATCCGATGAGATACTCACTGTATCCACTTCCATGCATGCTGCAAAGTGCAAAGCAGCAGGAGAAAGGCAAGAACCTTCTTCGGTAAGGAATATATCTCTGGCCAATTGTAGGCCTCACTTTCCTATAGCTATGCCTGTAGTGAAAGAGCTCTCTATGGGGTACAGTTACAGGTAGGCAGCTGTGTTGGTCTGCCGTAGTCAAAACAAAATAAAAAAATCCTTCCAGTATCACCTTAGAGACCAACTAAGTTTGTTATTGGTATGAGCTTTCGGGTGCATGCACACTTCTTCAGATACACTGAAACAGAAGTCACCAGACCCTTATAAATAGTGAGAGGGTGAGGTGGGGGTTTTCTCAGGAGGGTGGTGGGAACGGGTGATTGGCTGATAGATGTGGTAAACCTGTTGGCGACTGTTAACGACTGCAATTGGTCTTACAGGAAAAATCAAGGGGGGAGATGGCTAAAAATAGCTATATCATGTATAACGAGATAAGAATCCAATGTCTCATATTCAGACCAGGTCTCTCCATGGTTTTAAGTTTGGTAATAAGTTGCAATTCAGCAACTTCTCTTTCCAGACTATTTCTGAAATTCTTTTGTAATAAGACAGCTACTTTGAGATCTTGTATAGGATGTCCTGGGAGATTGAAGTGTTCTCCTACTGGTTTCTCTGTCGTGTGATTCCTGATATCAGATTTATGTCCGTTTATGGGGTACAGACACTCTGTTTACATTCTTGTCCATTTCTATGGCTCTCGAGACTTCTTTCAGAATAGAGCTATGCTGGGGACTAGAATGCAGAAGTGCCCGCTTCTGCACAAGGGAGCACCCTGCTGGGTCGCTTGGTTGCCATCATGGCAGCAGCTGGAACCCCAGGAAGTTACATCATAAGTTGGGCTGCAGGAGATGAGAGCTGGAAGGAGCAAGAATGCCTCACCATCCTCTCACGGTATTGTTGTGAGGATAAAATGGTGAGGGGGATAACCTTGAGCTCCTTGGAGGAAAAGTGGGATATAAATGCAGTGATAATTGAATAAAATAAACAATAATAAATCACATCATTTCCAGTGGGGGAGAGTTTAGTGCATACTTACCCTCCCTTTTGAAATCAATAGAACTGAACCTTCGCTTGAACATATGCTTTCTCCTTGTTTGTTTTGAACAACAGGCACATTTTTACATGTTCTCCCTGTGACCATATGGACTACAGCCTTTTTTTTAAATCAGAGTTGAGATTTCTTCCAGTGGACTCTATCCTTGATATCCGATCATCTATAACTGGTTCATGATAGTTATGTTGATTTCCAGGGTCCCTGGCTAGGTTTATGTTTATGTTTTTTGTTTTTTTAAAAAGTGTTATTTTTGAATATGAGTTCCTAGAAGAGATGTAAGGAAATATTGCGTAGCACTGTGGGCATGAATATTGCATGGTGACTTTGCCACAAACACACATCAAATTATCTTACCTTTGAAATATTAAAATTTTGTACTTTTTAATAAAATATGTGACCATCCCTCTTTGCAGCTCCTGACTTCATTGCGCACACAACAAACTTCATTACAAGAATCTACCCCAAAGGAACCAGGACAGACTCTTCAAATTATGATCCACAAGAATTCTGGAACGTTGGATGCCAAATGGGTAGGCTTTTCCATCTAATTTTATGTGATGTGTTCGCATGCATGAAACACCAAAATAGGTTTAGATATATGGCTTAGATTTGATAACGTCTCACATGGATGAAAGTGGGTTGGGGACTGACATACATTGGAATCTAGAGTGCTTTTGGGTTGCAGTCACAGGCCAGAGGGCTGAGGAGGGCAATGAGGTTAAGGTAGGTGTGTGGAACTTCTGTCCCTTCAGATATTGCTAAACTAGAACTCTGATCAGCTCCAGAAAGTATAGCCAATGGCGAGAGTTGATGAGAGTGATATTTCAGCAGCACTGGGAGAGCCAAAGATTCTACACACCTGGAGACAGTAAAGCAAAGATGCATCAAACACATTGGCCAGTCTGAGATGTAATGGAGAACCATAGTGGAGAGTCAGGGCAGGGTGGATCATGTGGTCCTCCTCCTCTCTTTGTGCACAGGGGGATGTGCAAAGTATCTTTTTGTAACAGACTAACCACAGTTCCCTGTGACATTTGAACTCAGGAAACCATGGTTTGTGTAAACTATGGTCCCAGCACAAGCCAGGTTCTGAAGCCATGATATGAGCTTTACTCATAAAGGGGAGTTGCCTCAATTTGGATGTCATGGAAGGCTGTACATGGTTTAAAATCAGAAATGAAAGCATCCAATCTGCTTGAAAGAGGAGGCTGGAAAGAGGCGGAGATGTGGTAGACTGCAACTGCCATCATCATGCTGGCTGGGCCTGATGGGAGTTGTAGTCCAATAATTTATGGAGAGTGGAAGGTTCCCCAGCCCTGACCTGAATGCAGCCTTGATGATAGCGGACATATGGCTGAGTCAAAATCGCAATCCCTCATGCTCAAAAATATGCCGTGCTGGCCTCCCAAACAGATGTCTAAGTCCTCTTCCTGTAGCACACTGCCTAATGTTTATGTCTTAACTTGTTTGTCATTGCAATGGGAAATGTAACAACAAATTCATTATATGAAGCCATGACTTTGTTTCATCCTGCGGCAGTTGGGGGGAAGAACAAAAATACTAATTACATCTCTTCCTGCTCATTACTTTCATTTTTCGCTCCTCTTTAATGGCATGTGTGTAATGCATAACAAAAGATAAAGTGATCTGTTTGGTGATATTAACTCCTTGCCTCTAAAAGCTTTGACTGGGTGCATTGTTGGCAGTGGACAGTTTCCTGGCGTGAAAGGATCATTTATTGAGTGCCACTCAGGACTCAGGCAGCCTGCATTGCAGGAAATTGGATGATTTGTAAATGTCACTGCAGCACCCAGAACTGAATGGGTGACATGCGGAAGGAGTGACTCTATTTCTATGAAATTAAAAAGGTTCTGAACCAAAGAGTTTTGCCCTTTGAGATATAACTATTTTGAGCTTGTCCGCATGCTGCCAATCATCAGACTTGTATAATGGGAATAGCACTACAGTCTCAGAGAGGGAGAGTCAGTCCCTTGTGAATGTTGAAGCTATGTATGTATGTTGAGTTGGAAGTATGTTCCATCAAGCTCAATGAGACTTTGACCGCATCTACACCTGCTGTCTATAACACAATTGAAGCACATGGCTGAAAAAACAACCCCATGGAAACTGTAGGTTTTTGAGATGTTTGGCAATAGTAGCTCTGTGAGGGGATAAACAACAGTTCCTGGGATTATTGGAGGAAGCCATGTGTGTTAAGTGTTCTTTAAATGCATAGCATAGATGTGATCTTCCTCCCAAGCAAAACTGCAACAAGACTGCAGTCTTAAGGTCTACAAGCTTCCTTATCAAACTGTCACCTATATTTATTATAATCTCTGTTCCATTTAAATGCCTAACAGATGAAAGTTTTACCCACCTGGTGCCCACCAGATGTTTTCAACTTGAACTCCCATCAGCTTCAGCCTGCGTGTCATGCTGGCTGAGGTAGACATGAGTTGCAATCCAAAACAGCTGGAGAGTGCCAGGTTAATGAAGGCTGATTTACAGGATAGATGAGGAGGTTGTGGTGGAAATATCTACCTTACCTATCCAGTTTTATTTAATTCATGACCTCACTTTGAAGTATTCTCCAGCAACAGAACACCCAATGAAACGAAACACAACCTAAACAGAACAATAAAACTACCAAAAAGAATGCCAAGCAGAGAGAAGCTAAACAGCAGCCAGTAAATCTAGATGAAATCAATTAGGCAAATTAAAGATCGAAAGATTGTCTAAACAGACAGAAAATCTTTAGGTTCCAACTTTGGCATCTCCAGCTAAAAGGTTCTTATAGCAGGTAATGGAAAATAGCTTTCTCTGCTTAAGATATTGGACTGCCAAGGGGAGAAAAAATGGACAGTACTAGGCTAGATGGACAAATGGTTTAACTTGGCACAAGGCTGCTTCTGTGCAGCTTTTAAGCACAACAGGTCTTTAAATCCCATTTGAAAGGGACAATCTTCCGACTTAAGGTGTTACCTAGTCCAGGTGGCACTACTAGGAATGCTCTTTCTGCAGTGGCTGCCAAACTAAGGGATGGGTAACCTCATGCCCAGGGGCCAAATATGGTTCTCCATTATCTGGTCCTCAAAACCCTCCCCAGACCCCACCCCAGCCCTGCTTCACACTCCAAGTGCCTTGCAGGAACATACCCTTGAACACTGATAATGACTCTTGGTTCTCTGGATGTAGGTTAGAGAGGAATCATAGGCTCATAGAATTGTAGGGTTCATCTGAGGCTAATCTAGTCCAACACCCTGCAATGCAGGAATATGCAGCTGTCCCAGACAGGGATCAAACCTGCAACTTTGGCATTATCAGCATCACGCGGTAACCAACTGAGCCATCCACATGTGTAGAAACTAGGCTGCTGTACAAAGTTGAAATTTAGAATTGTTGCTCCACCCCGTTCTGCCCTAGACACCCCTAGCCAAGGAAGGTACACATCTGATAGTTAATTCTTTACTGGCAAAAACATGCACTTACAGCAACTCCCACAGTGCTCTGGATACACATGCAAACACCCTTCTAGCCTCTAGGAAGTTTTCCCTAGCTCTGTGCCCCATGGAGCAGTTGCATAGGATAGATTTTAAAACCATCAAGAGGTTTTCTGAGCTGCATTTTAAAGACTGGGGAGGTATGTTATCCCACGATCCCCATGAGATGTGCACAGGAGCCAGAGTCCCACATCTAAGCTGCCAGGCAAAGAGGCTAGAAGCATGTGCTGATATAGGTGCATAGAGCAAAATGTGCAAGTGTTGGGGTATGTGATCATTGCATGCACCAGAAATTCAGAGGCCCAGCCCTTGCAGTTTCATCACCCCCATTTGTTTTTTCAATGTCTCTGTATGTGTGTGTTTCATCAGATCCTGGTGTGTGTGTGTGTGTAAGGGGAAAATATTTCTGAAAATCAGTCATTACTTCAGTTGCATTTAAAAATAACAACTGCTCACACAATACCTTGTATTGAACTGAAAATATCTCTTTCCCCGCTTACAGTGGCCTTAAACTTCCAGACACCCGGAGTACAGATGGATCTACTGAATGGAAAGTATTTGGACAATGGTGGCTGTGGTTATGTCTTAAAACCAGAATTCCTGAGAAAGAGAGACACAGACTACAACCCACATGACGTAAACATGAAATTCAGAGCGCTTACACTTACAGTAAGGGTAAGAAGGTTTCATTCCACCTTTTACTTATCATTCATATATGATACTTATGTTTTATAAACCACTGAGCCTCTTGGGCTTGCTGATCAGAAGGTCAGCAGTTCGAATGTGTGCGATGAGATGAGCTCCCATTGCTCTGTCCCAGCTTCTGCCAACCTAGCAGTTCGAAAGCATACCAGAGCAAAAACAACAACAGTGACTTTAAAAAGGAATGGGAATTTTTTACAAGATATTTGCAGAAACAACAAAAAGAAATGGACTCATTGTCAAGATTTGAATAAACTTTCACAACTTTATTGAATTTCAAAATGGAGGATGACAATGTAACAACATTTAATAGTATATATACATGTAGAATACAACAAACAATGTAACAAACCAGAAGAGGAAAATGAGGGATGCCAGAGGGAGGGTGGGGATTGTAAAGGTAGGATTGGATTATGGTACATGATATTTGTAATCATAAAACTTTAATAAAAATATTATTAATAATAAAAATAATAAAAAAGAAAGCATACCAGAGCAAGCAGATAAATGGGTACTGCTGCAGCGGGAAGGTAAATGGCGTTTCCGTGCGCTCTGGTTTCCATCACAGTATCCTGTTGTGCCAGAAGCGGTTTAGTCATGCTGGCCACATGACCCGGAAAGCTGTCTGTGGACAAACACTGGTTCTCTTGGCCTAAAAGCGAGATGAGTGCCACAACCCCATAGTCGCCTTTGACTGGACTTAACTGTACAGGGGTCCTTTACCTTTTACCTTTACCTTACTTCTCCTAAGCTCTATTTTTTTTTTTTAAAAAAAGAAAATATCCCAAATTCATTATTGGTTTAACATTTCAGTTGTCTATCTCTGGTGACTCTTGGCCCACATGCCCACAGGTAAAATCCCTACCCTGTCCTGCTGAGGGAAGCTGCGTAAGTCTAGTCAAGCATGGTTAAGTCCTTTCAAATCCAACTAGCTAGGGCAGTGCAATGCATCTCTTTCTAAGCAGTGATCAGCACCCTGGACAGCTCACAGTGGATTTCCCCATTGGCTTAGTTCTGTTTAGTGGCAGGTAGTGGGCGGTTCAGTGGTGGCAGGGATGGGGCCGTGCACCCACAGGGTTTTTTTTGTGGGTGCCCAGGCCCGCAGGGCCCCCTGAAGTTGGCGCCTATGGCGCCAGTTCATCAAGGTTGATGGCAGTTGTAGGCCAGCAACATTTGGAAGGCCACAGTTTCCCCATGCAAGGTCTGCACTGATAGTGTCCAGAGTTTCAGACAGGAGACTTTCCCAGCCCTACCTAAAGATGCAAACCTATTCCTCAAAATTTTCACTTATCTCAATTTGCAGTGTAGTTGTGCAATCAGACAATGTGTACAGAATTCATATATTTGGGGAGAATGTTCATGAAAATAAACACATTAGGGAGAATAACATACAAAACGCACCATATTAGGGGAAATTGCTTGCAAAACTGCATACAAAACTGTGTTTACGGGGAGAAAAAAGCAGATGAATTTTCCCAGATTGCTCTAGAAATGTGGAGAACTGAATGTAAGACTGGTACAGTGACAAATGGGGAAAACCAGAATTGACAGATCCTTCCATCCATGTTCAGAACAGACACACTGAAATTAATAGACCTTAGTTAGTTGTATCCATTAATTTCAATGGGTATACTCGTGAGTAGGAGTAATACTAATAGGAGTAACACAACCCATGGATTTAAACAGCCGACTTTGAACTAAGAAGAATGCAATAATTTTAGGAGCAGCCTTAATCATGAGAGCTAAATGGGGGCTCCATATTCAGAAGTACAGACTTTATGTTCAGGGTATGTACATTTGCATACCAGAGACTGAAACCAAAAAAAGGTGATGGTGGTACAATGCCAGGAACTACTGGAATCCATGTGGCTGCCCCATGTGGTGAACTGTTGAACAACCATCTCAGATTGACCTTCTGGATTGACTCAGCCCACCCAAGCTGATCGCTAGATCTTTCTGAACAGAAGAGAGTTTAGAGAGCCTCTTTTCTCAAGCTAAACCTTGCCTGAGCAACAAGATCTGCCTGAGCACCACCAGTATCTAATATTTTCCCTCTTCATCTGGATCCCTGCCTTCAGAATTCTTTCTCTTGCATCCTGATAATTCTTTGGTCTCCTAGCTTGTTCTTTGGCCCACTTCTCTGTTGCTGCTGGATCTTTCTTAATTTTTACTCCAGCCTCTCATTTCCCAGCTCCTGAATTTCTCCAGACTGTTGCCCATGACCTAGCACTTGCTTCACGGCCAACTTGTGATCTTCACAGAAACATGCAGTTGGCTGTGCTTGGAAGCAGAATGCTAGATGGATCTTTGGTCTCATCATAGCTGTCAACTTTCCCCTTTTTTAAAGGGAAACTCCCTTATTCCAAATAGGATTCCTCACAAGAAAAGGGAAAAGTTGACAGCCATGGATCTGATCCAGCAGGGCAGTTCTGAACTGGGAAACCCTTCCTCGAGGCAGAGTTTTCTGTGGGCATTAAGGTTGCAACCCTAATCATGCCTACTCAAAACTAGGGATGCCAGAGAATTCAGAAACAGGAGCAGAAATGGCCATTGTTCACTTACTTATCCCATGTCTGGAAGAGAAACCAATTCAGCAAGTACAATTGGTATTAGCTGCTGTTTTTGCTGCCAGTCTGTAAATGATACATAATTGCTTATGTTCCCCCCATTGGTTTTGTGTTTCCTTTGCATGGAAATGAAGGGGGTGGAATAACATCATCACAACATAACTGATGCGATTTATCTAATTAATTACGTAATTTATGTACATTTTGCCACCATGGATAGCGAGACAAATAATGTAGTTTTTGGCAGAAGACCGACTGCAGCAGAACAGAAACAATTCTGCATGCAAAGCACGCAGAGCAGCATGGAAAATGATACCTTATTAGATCCCAACTCTGAAGTAAGTCCCACTGAATTCAATAGGGCTAGGAATGCAGGGGTTATAGTTACAGTTTACCCTCTCTAGCCCTCTAGCTACAATATATCCCCGGACTGGGATTAAATTTAATTTGCAGCATCCAAGAATGAAACTGAACTTTCCAAAAATTCTGGCATTCTGCTTACAAGGGAGCCTCATTAAATACTGTTATTTACAAGGATCTCGTTCTCAGTACACCTAGGTCATTCTTCAGCTGCAATTTAGAACATTACCGTAGCATGCTGAAAATAGAGAGAGGCAAATTGAATTAAACCTTTCAGGGCAAGCTGTGATATTCATGTACAGAGATGGTTCTGGAAAATTGCCTGTTTGAACAAAAATAAATCAAACAGGTTTGATTTATTATCTGTAATATTTCCTGGTACTCTCCTATGCTTGTTGTTGAAAATGCCTCAAATACTATAAATTCTGTGGCCAGCAAGCTGCAAATAGTTATCAAAGACATTTGACAGGTTATTAAATACCAGTGGTGTACAGTGTGTGGGGTTTTTTTTTGGGGGGGAGGGGTTGGTCTGGCTACAGAATAAGCATTCTCTTCCCATCTTGCCAACCTTAAACAAAGATTTTGTTCACCATATTTTTTTAAAAAATGCATGTTAAACAAGGCCAGATATTTTTCTCCCTCCTCCATAAGGAATGGTTGAGGGAATTGGTATGTTTAGCCTGGGTAAAGAGAAGATGTGATAGCCATCTTCAAACATCTCAAGGGCTGTCACATGGAGGATGAAGCAAGCTTGTTTTCTCCTGCTCCAGAGGCTAGGGCCCCAACCAATGAATTCAAGTTACAAGAAAGGAGATTCTGACTAAATAGCAGGAAGAACTTTCTGACAGTAAGAAGAATTCAGCAGTGCAACAGTCTTCCACGAGAGGCGGTGGACTTTCCTTCCTTGGAGATTTGTAAGAAGAGGTTGGACTAATTTGTGGAGAATTGGTCTATCAAAGAGTATTAGTGAAAAAGAACCTGCATATTCAAAGGCAGTACAACCCTAATGCATTAAGAGTCATAATACACCTGACAAGTAGAAGTAGAAGATAGACATCAATAGCCTTGTCCTCCATGAATTTGTCTAACCCACTTTTAAAGCCAGCCAACTTGGTGTCCTTCAGTGCCTCTTGTGCTATTGAGATTCACAGTTTAAGTATACACTGTGTGAAAAAGCACTTCCTTTTATCTATCCTGAATTTTCCAACATTCAGCTTCATTGGATTAATGAATTATTGCATCATAGTTTTTTTAAAAAACAAAAACAAAAACAAAAAAAAACTTTGAGGTTTTGGTAATCTGCCATTATGATTCATCTGATTAAGAAACCCCTCACAAGCTCCTGAGAAACTCCCAAAGTTCTCCAAAGTATAATTTGAAAGTTAGTGAATCATATGAAGCAAGAAAGTGTTTGAGATATAGGTATCACCCAAGCACTATGGGGGTCTATGCTTATACATTTTGTGATATACAATATTGGTCCTGGACGACTCTGTGTTCTGCAGATTTTATAACATCTTATTTTTATATTTATGGTAAAGTGAATCTTTTCTAAAGCATTTAAATCATATATACTTATGGATGTTTTTCCTCCTTCCGCAGCAGTTAATGGATGACTCCTGTTGTTGACAGTAGGAGAAAGATTGAACGCTATATAGGGATCCATGCTATAGCAATCTTCTTAGTAGGGCTAATGGTTGTAATTCTGAAAATCTCAAGAGACTTAAAGAGGATGACACCGTGGAGTGCTGTAGTATTTATTTATGTGGCATTTTCAAAGCTCTCATCCCAGGGTTGAATTGGACTGTGAACTTTCGCCGTTTGTAGTCGAGAGGTTGCTGGACTACAACTCCCATCACTTCTGGCCATTAGCCATGTTGGCTGGGGTTGTATCATGCAAAATTTGTAAATTCAAAAATTCAGAGATTGCTCTCCATCATTTGATGCTGGGGCTGTCCACCCTCATAATATAACCACACCAGCAATATTGTTGTTATAAAATAATAATGATGGGTTGTCTCCCATGCTCGTCCTACTTAGAGTAGACCTACTTAGAGTTATTCTGAGTAATTCTTACCTGGATACTATCCCATGTTGTTGTTGTTGCAACAAGAGCAAAAGCAGAAAAAGGTAGAGTGAATCGATTTCAGCGCAGTAAAAGGTAAAGGTACCCCTGACTGTTAGGTCCAGTCACAGATGACTCTGGGGTTGCGTGCTCATCTCACTCTATAGGCCGAGGGAGCCAGCGTTTGTCTGCAGACAGCTTCCGGGTCATGTGGCCAGCATGGCGAAGCAAAGCAGTGCACAGAAACACCATTTACCTTCCCGCCGGAGCGGTACCTATTTATCTACTTGTACTTTGACGTGCTTTCGAACTGCTAGGTGGGCAGGAGCTGGGACCCATCAACGGGAGCTCACCCCGTCACGGGGATTCGAACTGCTGACCTTCTGATTGGCAATCCCTGGAGTCTCCACTCGCCTGTGGGGTTTTTTCGGGGGGTTGGAGCGCCTAGCCCTGGTGCTCACCCCCAAAGCCCTAGCAGCCTGGACCGTGTCGTCTTTTATTCAGACGACACGGAGCGTGCTGCCATTCCACACTAGTTCTCTTTAAGTGTGTTGGGTGAACATGTGTAGACAGAAAAAGGGGAGTGGGCAGACAAGCAGGCACCTTGAGTTCAGCATCTCCAGAGGAACCAGCGCCACTTCAGATCTTCCAACAGTGAAAGGAGAAGTCTCAAAGTGGATTCTTGTGGGAACGTATCTCTGTAATTTGAGCAATTCATTCATGCTGGTGGTTGATTTCCTTTATATAGATTATCAGTGGTTGCCAGCTGCCACCAAGCAACCTATCCAAGAGTAATAAGGCTGATCCTGTAGTCAAGATAGAGATTCATGGAGTTCCTGGAGATATGAATAAACAGCAGACTTCTGTCATAAAGAACAATGGTAAGTCTAATACACCATGAACTTGGGTAAGATGTTCAGCGGAGCTCTGTTCAAAAACGCATGTCCAACAACTAGATTTCCCCTCCTGTTTCTTGCAGCTTTGAATCCTAGATGGAATGAAACATTCACGTTTAACATCAATGTTCCCGATCTTGCCTTAATACGCTTTGTTTTAGAAGATCAGATGGCACTAACTGCAAATGACTTCCTCGGTCAATTTACTTTGCCAGTTATGAGCCTGAATAAAGGTAAGATTAAGCAGGGATGGGAGAAGTCAGCATGCACACACACAATATTTGTGCATGCATGGGTCTCCCTGTTCATTGGGGAGTTTGAGACAATTTTGCACATGTGGTCCCTCTGTTCTGATACAGCTGCCCTATTGCTGGAGTGGCTACAGAGCTCTAGACTGGGGTGAAATAACTTGATTACAGTTTTGTACAGAGGAATTAAATTAGCCGAATCAGCCATAGACAAAGGCAGCCTTTAAATCAATATAGTCACTTTAGGAGAATTTAAAAGTTCGTGCGATAGAAATCCATCAAATGGGTTCATACTTGTTTCGTAGCTACAATATTTATTTATTTATTTATTTATTTATTTATTTATTTAAAAAACTCCCACATAAAATAAGTTTATAAAATATTTCTTTGAGTTTAATATTATATCCACAACCCAATGAAATATCCATAGAATTATTAAGCTGTATTTCAGGCTACATGAACCGTCTTGAAATATTTAGTCTCTAACAAGACAACAAAGTCTATGTGCTGTCAGACTAAATCTAGCAATGCTATTATGGAAGAGGAAGATGTCTATTTATCAATATCAAGGCACAGGAAAACCACAAATAAAAATGCATTCAAATCTACTAGTATGAAGTTAGCAGTAGAAAATAAAGAGAGATTATTACTTTAAATGGCATACAAGGATGATTTTCTGGGAAAGCTAAAGTAAATCTCTACTGTCAAGAGTGCCAAAAGAATTGAAGAAGCAAAATAGTTAGACAACTTTCTTTTTTTATTTTGCATGATAAAAAAAAATAAAATCCTTCTATGACAGAAGCAGTGAACATTTTTCAGCTTGAGGGCCATATTCCCTCCTGGGCAACCTTCCAGGGGCCACATGGATGCAAATTTTACCTTATATGGTCAGCTAATTTCTACAATGGAGCTTGTCCATTCAGACAAGCAAGAGGCATTGTGTGTGTTTAAGAACACATTGCAGCCAGGCAAAAGCACCTGGGAGGCGAACAGGGCCAGTGAGAGGTGTGGGCTGGGGAGAGTTCCGAGGAGAGACCTGGAGGGTCAGCTTTGGCCCTTGTGATGACCCCCACCTCCGAACCATACACTCACCTCTCTCTCTCTCCTTCAGGTAAGCAGAAGGCACCTTCAGAAGATACATTTCAAGCATTCAATGGGGTTACAAAACAGGACCACTGGGAGCTGTGTCTGCAGAGCCTGGGGAGAATTGAGGGCCAGATCTCCGTATTATGCAATACACCGTGTGTTCTGCAGGGGACACATAGGTCACTTAAGGAGCAATCACAGTTGCTGGGAGGGTGGCCAAGGGGCTGTAGGATGCTGAGGGTCCATACCCCTGCCATGGGCAGAGCAGGAGGTCCATGGGTGGAGGCCTCTCTAGTGTGGCAGAGTAGGAGGCCTCTCAGAGCTCTCCACTGAAATTTCTCATCTGGCAGTGATCCACAGGGCCAGAAAATGGGGCATGCCATGGGGTGGCAGAGGGGAAAAAATGCAAATTCTCCACTGGGCATACCCAATTTCCTTGACCAGGCTGCATTAACTCTCTGGAAGAACCTGGTCTCTTGCTTTTCCACATAGGTAGTTCCCCAAGGATTGTATGAACATGGCTGCACACACAGCATGCATTTGAAACACATTGAAAGCGCATAACTGCCCCTTCCCCAAGAATCCTGGAAACTGTAGTTTACCCCTCCCAGGATTACGATTCCTTCCATCCTTAACAAACTACAGAACTGGGGATTTGGGGGCAAAGAAAGTAATGTGCTTTAAAAGCATGGTCTGTATGTATCACATGCGTGGATTTACTTTAAAAAAATTGGCATGATATATTTTTTAAGCTCCTTCTTCCTTCATCATATATTATTGGATGTGCATTTTATATTTAGCACATTTTTTTTGGAAAAAAAATCTTCTTCCTTCTTGCTTTGTTTCTAGGATACCGCCATGTTCCATTGGTCTCCAAGCTCGGAGTGACCCTCAAGCCCGCCTCGCTCTTCGTATATATCTGGTACTGCTTTCATGTCCTGAGTTAATGTCATCACTACTCCTCCCAGCTGCGTGTTTAATAAAGCAACCATAATCAAAGCAGAAGGCACCCGATTCCTTCACACAGCACACGCATAGCTAAACTATGGAATTTGCTCCCACAATATGAAGTGATGGCCACCAGCTTGGATGGCTTTAAAAGCCAATGAAGATCTTTCAGGACTGGTGTTATATGGTCTTGGCAGCCACTCCCAGTCACCAGTCTAGCTGCCGCATTCTGGATTAGTTGTAGTTTCCAGGTCACCTTCAAAGGTAGCCCCACATAGAGCACATTGCAGTAGTCCAAGTGGGAGATAACTAGAGCTTAAGAATGAGCTGCAATGTAGCCGCTGAAAAATACCAATACAGGCTTTGTAAATTATTGGTATTAATACCCAGTATTGTGCGATGAAAATTTTCATAGGGGAGCAGATAGGGCCAGAGGCGATGGCAATGGGTGGGGGGTGGGACGTTGCTCATCTGACATCACAAGGTCCTGATATCTCACAAATGTGAATTGTACCTCCTTCCCTAAATTGGGCAGAAGCTTCCCAGGCTTTGGGAAGGAGGAGCCAATGGAACATTTAGGGGACTAGCCTAGTCCCGCTAGTCCACTAACCACACACCACTGCTAGCTACTAGCCACAATAGCTATGATCTACCTCCAGAACAGAGTTAAACTAAAGAATTAGCTCCCAGAAGATGCAGTGAAAGCTGCCAACTTGGATAGCTTTAAAGAGAATCAGGCAAATTCAAAGAGGACCAGGCTACCAGTGGCTACTCATCATGATGATGTATGAACTCCAGTGTTGGAGGCATTTTGCTTCTGAATTCCTGGTACTGGCTATCACAAACTGTGAAAGAGCTGTTGAGCCCAGGTCGTTCTTATCAGCTTCCCATGGGCATCTTGGTTGGCTACTGTGGGAACAGGAGGTTGGACTATAGCTGAGCAGTCAGCTTGAAAGAGCAGGGCTCTTCTTAAGTTCTTAAATATTTACTGGTTAGTTATTAGAGTGTGGGGTGCCTTTGCTGGAAGATAATTGGTTAGCTTTCCAAGATGACTGACACCTCAGCGTATCAGGTCAGGGATTTTTATTCTTCCAAGTTTCCAAGCTATGGCAGGTTTTCCTCAGCACACAATAATAGACAAGTTAATTTAATTGGGGTGGGTGTACCTCTCTATTCATTATGATGGATATGTGTTGTTATTCGGTTTCTAAACAGTAATTTTATATAGTTTGTGTAATAAAACAAAATCGATGGCAAAAGCATTAGGTAGGTAGAAATGAAATTTCAGTTAGCTTTCAAGGTATTAATCACCTGGGTGGTAGCATGAGTGAGTTACCATTAGCGTAGCATCACATTTACAGGTGTGATGTATCTGATCCGTTTACCACAAGCCTTCTATAAATATTACTGCATTTGTGTTTGTGTGGAATGCATGTGTTGAAATGACCAGCCTCAATAGAGCAATAACAAGACAAAAGCAGAGTCAAGACTACAGAACTACTGGAAAGCAAATGTCTACATTTATCTACAGTAAACCTTAAGGGAACAAATTAAAAACCCAGTCTACTGAGAAGCCTCTGAAATCAATATTTATTGAGCTTTAAGGACAGGAAGTTTGAAAAACAGCCAGAGTGAGCTGCCAAATGCACTTTATTTTTAGAGGGGAAAGTAATTTGCCTTTTCAGCCTCCCAAAGCTGTAATCAGAATTTTGGCCCTGATAATCTTATATTGCTTGTGTGGGTGTGTTTTATAGCCATTTTTTTTTGAAAAAAGCATTAAAATCACAAATTTTCAGAACTGTGAAGCATATGAAGGTCTTTGCTTGAATAGATTCGTATTACGCCTTTCATATATTGCACTCAGTGGAGTGGGAGGCTAATATCTCCATCCTTTATGGCATCTCTCTCCAAGAGTTGTCCAAAAGGGAAGATAATGCCGGTTGCTTTGTTAGTGCAAAGGGCTCTGAATTAACTCTGTTTCTTGTCCTGAACTCTGTTTCTTTCGCAATGTGTCCTGTTTTCTACTGTTCAGCCTGGCTGAGTTTGTTGGTGTGTCTTAAGACATGGATGATTGGCAATTCCTCTGCAAATCCCTAACTGGCAACCACTACCCTTCCTTCGAAGCCAGGGCTATTTTGGCCCAGGAGCCACATTCAGCCTTTGCCAATCATCCAGGGGCCACATATCAGTTGTGGCTATTGTCACACCACCCTCTCACACGCACGCACCCACAACACATGCAGGCCCGCTAAGAAGGGGTGCTGTCTTTTTTTTGCTGCCGCAAGCAAATTCACTGGGACCCAGAAAAATTTCCTTGGAGGACCACATCCCCAAGGAGATGGCTAGTTGCCCCAGCTCTAACAGCAAATGGGCATAAGAACATGAGAACCTGTTGGATCAGGCCAATGGCCCATCTAGTCCAACATCTTGCTACCACGGTACCCAACCAGAAACCCCAAAACAGGACTTGAGCCCAACAGCATTCTCGCTTCTTGCACTTCCCACTGTGGCAGCCCAGGCCAATGTTAGGGGGCCATCAAGATACAAGGCAGGATTTTGGCATACTGGCAAAATTCTCTACAGATGCGGGTGGTGCTGTGGTCTAAACCACTGAGCCTTTTGGGCTTGCCGATCAGAAAGTTGGTGGTTCGAATCCCCGTGACGGGGTGAGCTCCCATTACTCTGTCTCAGTTCCTGCCAACCTAGCAGTTGGAAAGCATGCCAGTGCAAGTAGATAAATAGGTACCGCTGTGGCAGGAAGGTAAACACCATTTCCATGTGCTCTGGTTTCCATCATGGTGTTCCGTTGCGCCAGAAGCGGTTTAGTCATGCTGGCCACATGACCCAGAAAGCTGTCTCTGGACAAACACCGGCTCTCTCAGCCTGGAAGCGAGATGAGTGCCACAACCCCATAGTCGCCATTGACTGGACGTAACCATCCAGGGGTCCTTTACTTTTTTACCTACATATGCAGATAAATGTAGAGGCGAACACACACAACCTTTCTTGCAAGCACTGCTTGTATATAGTGACTGGTCCAACTTGCCTGACTGGGAGTCAGTGTCTAGTATGGTGTTTCCTTGGTGTTGTAGTAGCAAATATATACAGACATTCACCACTGCTGTGATCAAGGCATGCTTAGAGTCCGACAAGAGTAGGAGACTCTCTCTCTTGCTTGTGCCTTGTGGTGAGAGAAGCAGAGAGAGAGTCTTCGTCTCTTGTTGGACTCTAAGCATGCCTTGATCACTGCAGTGGTGAATATCTGTATATATTTGCTACCAATATGCTTTTATGCCTGTCAAGTAAAACTTCTACACTTGACTGAATCTTTATGGCATCCATGAGTGTTTATTGCCTACTGCGTGTGTACCTTCAACCCTGAAGATGCTTCCAAGGAAGGAGCTGTGTTTAGATGTAACTCTGCTGAGTATTGATACTGCCACACATGAACAGTGAAAGTGATGCCGGACTCAACCCTTCTAAATAATCCATCAGAGGTTGATGGATTGATCCAACAATTTGCCCATAAGAAACCAGCTGATGTGCTTCACGTAGTGCATGATGGATTGATGGACCTTGCTGCTGCACAAGATGCAGTGCTGGCCACAAGCTTAGATGGCTCCAGAAGGGCATCCGATGAATTCAAGGAAGATAGAGGTCTACAAGTGGCTACAAATCATGATCACTGTGGCATCTTCAGGTTTAGAAGCTGTAGAGCACTGAATACCATCTGCTGGGCTGCAGTAGAAGGGCTATGTCCTCCACCTCCTACTTCTGGTCTTCTGGGAGAAGACGCTGGGCTAGATAGACCATTACCAGTAGCAGCCTGTATGGTGTGATGGAGCCACTTTCCTGACATTGACATCACTGCAAGTTACTCAGATGAAATGTGGGGAGGGAGCAGTAAGGTCAGGGCTGCATGAGCGCACTGGTTTGAGCAAACCTGCCGCTCCAACCTTGCAGGAACACAAGGAACGCAACCTGTTCCTTCTCCTTCCCCCCACCCAAAAAAGCTGCAGTGACACCAGTGTCTGAAGAATAGCTATGCCCCACCAGATAGATACCTACCAGTCAGATGTTGGTCTAATCCAGTGTGGCTCTTGGGTTCTGAGAGTTGCCAAAGCAACCGGTGAGCAATTCTATCCCCAGTCTTCAAAAATTCTGCCAGGCATTGTGTGGGAAGCACATTAACCCTCCTCGCTGCCTCCTCCTCCTTGATATAATCCAGTCTGGGGCTAGATGAGTAGCTTCCTACATGTCTAGCCCACCGAGTCCTCTCAATTCATTTATGATTTGTAGTTACAGCCTGCCCTTCAGTGCATGGCCCTAGGATGGGTTACAAAAATATTGCAATAAAAAAGAGATGCGGATGAACGTGGAAACCATAAACCAAAACCATAAAATAAACAAACAGCAGTGCAGGCAGAGGGAAGGCACCCACTCAGACTGACGCCTGGGTCAAGAGGTGCATGCTTTGATCAGTCATCGTAAAGCCTGCACATCTCAGAGTGGGGTCACTCCATAACTGGGGTGGGGGTGGAGCACACAGAGAAGACATTCTCATGCACCACCACCCTTGATTATTGCAACAATACTCACCTCATGCCATAGAGAGTTCCACAGTTTTATTCCATATCAGGTGGCAAAAGTTCTTTCTTTTGCCTGTCCTTTTGACCCTGCTGCCAATTAACTTCGCCGAGTGACCTCCGAGATATAGTATTAGGAGAGCGGGGAGGGGAAATATTGATCTTTCTTCAGTTACTTCCAATTTAACATCCTTATTTAATTGGGCTGAACAGAACTCCACATAGTTGTTTATGCCATGCTTTTCAGAGCAGGGAGGGATGAGTCTGTCACTTTTGGTTTCTCTCTATTTCTCTGAAGTTCAGCTTTCCACATTTCCACAGTACTTTGCAAATCCTTTTAAAAGAAGTCCTCGTGAAACCTCACCTGCATTTCAGTGTATTTTTCTCTAGTTATACACCACTTGGTATGCAGT